TTCTCAAAATTTGAAATTCAATTAATGTATTACATCAAAACAACAGGCTAAAGAAGAAAAATCACATGACATATCAATAGATCCAGAAAACTCATCTGACACTCATGCATGATAAAAACTCTCAGTGAACTAGGAATAGATGGGGAACATCCTCAACTTGATAACAATTACCTACCAAACCAACAGCTGATATCATACTTAAGGGTGGGAAATCCAAAGATTTTCTACTAATATTATAAAAAAGGGAAAGATATCCTCGGTCACATGTCAGGTAAGTTAATATAAAACTAATTAAATAAACAAAAAATCTATAAGAGGAAAACTATCAGACTCTGATAAATCAAAGAAGAGCTAAATAAATGGAATATATTTCATGTTCATGGACAGGAAGACTCAATATTGCCTGGATGTCAGTTATTCCAAACTGGAACTACAGATTAAATAAAATTCCAATAAAAATTCCAGCAAGTAATTTTGGATACTGACAAATTGATTCTAAAACATATATAGAGAGGCAAAAGACCCAGAATAGCCAACACAATATTGAAAAACAGGATGGAAGTTGAAGGATTAATACTATCAAACTTGAAGACATACTCTAAGCTACAGTCATAAAGACAGAGTGATTTTGGGAAAAGAACAGACATATAGATCAATGGAACAGAATAGAAAGCCTAGAAATAGACCCACATAAATACAGTCAACTAATTTTTGACTAAGGAGCAAAAAAATACAATGGAGCAAATATAGCCTTCTCAACAAATGATGCTGGAAAAATTGGACATCCACATGCAATGCAAAAAACAGAAAGAACTTAGACAGAAATCGTACACCCTTCACAAAAATGAATTCCAAATGGAACACAGCTCCAATTCTAAAACACAGTAATATAAAAACTTCTAGATGATAACACAGTACAAAGTCCAGATGACTTTCGCTTCGTCCATGACTTTTTAGATTCTATGCCAAAGGCATGATCCACAAAAGAAGCGATTGATAAACTGGACCTTATTAAAATTAAAACTTTCTGCTCTATGAAAGACATTCTCAAGAGAGTGAAAAGACAAACTGCAGATTGGACAAAAATATTTGCAGACAACATATCAGGTAAAAGATGCTAATGAAAATATGCAAAGAACTGTTAAAACTCAATGATATCAAAACAAAAACTCCAATTAAAAATGGGCCAGAAACCTTAACATACATCTTACCAAAAATATATAGAGAGACGAAAATAAGCATATGAAGATATGTGCCCCATTGTATATCATCAGGTAAATACAAATTAAAACAATAATAAGATACCACTACATGTGTATTAGAATGGTCCAAATCCAGATCATGGACAACAACAGATACTGGTGAGATTGTGGAGCAAAAGCAACTTTCATGCACAGGTGATGGAGATGGAAAGTTCTACAATTACTTTGGAAGACAGTTCGGCAGTTTTAAAAAAACTAAACACTCTTTTGCCATATGATCTAGAAATAACACTCTATGATATTACCCAAAGAAGTTGAAAACTTATGTCCACTCAAAACCTGAATATGGATGTTTAGAACAGTTTTGTTTATAATTTATGAAACATGGAAGCAACAAAGACGTCTGTCTGCAAGTGAATGGATCAATGAACTGTTATACAGCCAGAAAATTGAATATTGTTCCGTATTAAAAAGAAATCAGTTATTAAGTCATGAAAAGACATGGAGGAAACTTAAAGTCATATCACTAAGTAAAATAAGTCAATGTGAAAAGGGTAACTATTGCATGATACAACTATATGACATTTTGAAAAAAGCAAAACTATGGAGACAAGTTTGAAAAATGAGTGGTTTCTTGGGGTTGGGGGAAGGTAGGATTGAATAGGAAGAGCACTAAAGATGTTTAGGGTAGTGAAATGACTATGATACTATAATGGCAGATACCTGCCACTATACATATCAAAGCCCATAACATACGCAAAACCAAGAGTGAACTCTAATGTAAACCATGGATTCTGGGTGATAATGATGTGTCACGGTAAGTTTATCAGCTATAACTAGTGTGCCACTCTAGGGGGGGATGTTGACTACAGAGGGAGCTGTGCTTGTGTAGGGACAGGTGGTATACAGGAAATCTTTGTATCCTACACGCAACTTTGCTGTGAACTTAAAACTGCTCTGAAAAACTAAAGTCTATTTAAAAAAGGAAAGGAAAAAAATCCATTTGTCAAATCGAAAGACTTAAAGGAAATAAAAACATATTGAACTGATGAAAATAGAAACACAAGATGTCAGAATTTTGGGGATGCAGCAAATGCAGTGTTAACAAGGAAATTATAGAACTAAATCCTATATTAGAAAGGACATTTCAAATCAGAAATCTAAAATATTATCTCAAAAAATTTAAAAATAAGAGCAATATAAAAGTCAAAGCAACTAAAAAATAGGCAAATATTAAAAGAGCAGAATTCATTGAATGGATTACAGACTACAATGTAAAAATCAGTAAAAATTACTGTGGTTCTTTGAAAAGCCTCTAGCAGAGTTAACAGAAAAATAGAGAGAAGGCACAAAAAAATAATAATATAACAATATTGTCAGAACATGGGCAAGAAACAGGAAGAGAAATCTCCTTAACAAAGAGGATATAACATATATGGCTAGCTAATAGGCATATAAAAAGTTGTTCATCACTATCAGACTTGAGGGAAATGTAAATGAAGCCCATGATGAGCAGAACCAAAATTTTAAGTGAAAATACCCCAACCTAGCAGGGATGTAGAGAAACGGGATTTTTATAATTACTGGTAGGATATAAAATGTTATTTATATGTTATCTATATTCTGTAGCCACTATAGAATATAATTTGGAATTTTATTTAAAACTAAACAAACATTTTCTATTCTATGGTGCAATTTGCACTTCTGGGCATTTATCCCAGAGAAATAAAAGCTTACGTCCACACAAGAACATCCACACTACAATTGCTTTGCTCCTGTGATGGTATGTTAGCTTACTGCTCACAAGTCGTGGTTATAGAGGTTATACAATAGTTAGTAAAAGTCCTGCTTTCAGTTCTTACACAATTTTTTGTCAGCAGAGGTAATGTTCAGGTGATATGCACAAGTACGGCTAAACAATTATGTAGGTCTGGCCAACATTCTGATTGGCTAGCATTATTTGTTGTTTAAATAGTTGTCATATTTTACTGGATATTTTCAGTATTACCCATGGAGATATTATTTTCTTTTATTTTATAAAGAGAGATGCTGACTTTAAAGAATTTCAACAACTCACCAAATGTCATAATCTCATTATTTTTAAGACTACTTTTTTCTCTATTCTATAATTACTTCCTATCAATTTGAGAATTTCACTCAACCAAATATCTTTTCTTATACTACCTCTTAATGAATTACATATGAAAGAAAACTTTAAAACACAAAAATTATAAGAATGAATAATACTTATCAGCTGACAGGTAATTCCTAGTAAACTTGTCAGTATAATTAATTGCATGTATAATACATGCTACACTAAATTAACATCTAAATACCATAGTTAGTAGCCATTAAATTACATTTATCACTCTTGTTCCTTTGCAAAGGGTTTGTTGACTCATTAAAAAGTGTTAGGGTAAGTAACTGAATACTATACTGCTGTCAGCAGCTGGTGGTTGAGGTTCCCCATCAGAATAAATGCCAGAATAATACAGAACTGACAATATTAACATCTTTCACCAGTATTAAAATTTGGCTGGGCTTTGAAAGATTAAGAAATATACAAAGAGCTAAAGGTAAAACATTTTGGACAAGGGTAATGCATTCTTTGATATTATCGGAATAAATGGTTGGCACAAAGTAAATGATTGATCAGTGGTAGCTGAGGTGGGAGAAGAGGAGTAGTAGCGAGAAGTGGAGAAATGGCCGGTGCAGAGATGGGTCTATATTCATGGAAGAGGTTGTGTTAGAATTCTAAGTTAAAAATTTATGAGGCATGTAAAGTAAAGGGAGTGGAAGAAGTTATCAAAGCATTTGTCTAAACTGATGGGAGACAAAGTGAGGCGACCCCCTGGAAACATCAATGCATGCAGTGGCAAGGGAGCTCGCTGTAGAAACGATACAGTGATACAGTTCCCACATTACATAACCTGTGAGCTAGGAAGATGCAGAAAAGACGAGTCCAAAGACAAGTAAGAGACAAGAATGGGACATCTCCAGAGATACTCAGACAAAAAGTTAAGGAAAACAGTTAAGAGAAAAGCAGAAGATATATAAGGCTACAATGAGTCACCTTGTTAAAAGAAGGAGAGCAGTGTTACAGGAGACTTTGCCTATAATATCTTCAAGGGACATTCCTGGGAAGGTTCTGAATGTCAGGCTAAGGCTCCTTATCCCTGAATTTAATAAGTAAAGGGGTATAATAGAAATATGGTAATTTTAATTCATAGTTGAAAAATTATATTGAGCTTTCATGTTCATAGATATAATTTTTTCACTTTGTATTTGTTATCTATCCTTTTCCCCATACTGAGATAATGCATTTATAATTCATTCTAATGCAAACATTGTTATTGTCAATTTTATATTAAGGTAATAAAAAGGCAGATTTATGAATGTATAAAAAAAGTATATAAACAAAATATAAATATATAAATTTATGTAAATATGAAGTCAGATTTTTACAAAGTATTTTTAATTATTATTTAGAATGAAACCACCAAAGGACTGCTTTAGTTCCCAGGATGTTGTTTTAGTTTGACACAAATGCAGTTCATAAGGAATTAAAACTAAGAAATGCAATTAGTTTTGTGTAATTTATTTTAAGTGCTGCCTTTAAGTGAAAATTTGCCAATAAAATCTTAAAGTAAGTTTATTCTTCTGGACATGAGGGATATTTCAAGATGAGCAGAGAATGTGTGTTTTTGCTCTTGTGATTCCCCAAAGGTTTCCCCTCTTTGTTCCTTAATGACATTAATGTGGTTTAGAGGGGTTATATGATGAATTTCTTGGGTTTACCTTTGCTTCAATCTGTTTAGTATCTGGATTCTGAAACAAAAATTTGATTTTGCTCTTGCCATCATCTGAAGAACCTTTAAGCTGAGAGAACTTATACCTCCAAAGGATAGCCTAAAGGGAAAAAAAGAAACAATGTAAGTCAATGGAATTAATATCTGCTTTCAAATCAAGAAACTGTTCTTTTTTAAATGGTAAAAGTTAATCATACAAAGTTAGTACTATGTCCCAATATTTTAAAATGAAATTTAAAAATGTTAACATTTGTGATTCAATATTATCATTTAATTTTTAGAAATATTTTTTCCATGAAATAATTATTGTGAAAATACATAAAAATAAATTGCTTTTTGTATCTTGTCTTACGTGTACGGTCAATAAGAACTGTATGTTTCATGGAGTCCTTTTCAATAGAAGTGATAAGGTGATTTTGAATTGATCATTCTGGAGCTTTATCTTGAAGTTCAACTAATAACTTTAGCTTTATTAAGATGACATATTAGCTTGAATAAACACTTGTGACAAAAGCTGACACGGTACTTTCATGAGATTCAGAATAAGCATTTTATAGAGCCATCCGCATCAGTCTATAGTATCTTGGAAAGTAGAGAGGCCTCTTTCAGGAACATATTCTACAAATGTAATTCCCTGAAGCAGAAAGTAACAGAAATCTGTTGCCTTTCCAAATAACAAAAAAGGATATATACAAGATTAAATTGACAATAAGTGGGAATTGTCTATAACAATTTTTTGTCTATTCTATATCATAAATCATATTTCCTGGGAGTAGGTGCAGCACTTCGCTCTTTGGTATGTCCTGAAACTAAAACCATTCATGTCCAAAGTAAAATACCAAAGATATAAATCATTAAAGAAAATTGTGTATGTGTGTTCAAACACAATCACATGCCATGTAGTTTTTTTTTTTACCTTATCTTAGCATATGTTCACCTCATTAAATATGTGATAGAAAATACTTTTACAAATTATTGTTTCAAATATTTTTAAAATGATTTCTTGTGGTTTCTAAATAGATCAACAAAACATAGCTGATATAGTCAAATATTTTCTGAGTGCAGTCCTATGTAAGCTATTGTCTCTGATAAAATAGTAAAGAAACAACAGAGTATATGTCTCACATCTTTTTCAGAATAAAATCTGATAGATAAAAGCATATATGGGCATACCTCGGGGTATATACAGGCATACCTCAGGACTTTTGCGGATTTTGTTCCAGACCACCATGAAACAGCAAGTATTGAAATAAAGTGAGTCACAGAAATTGTTTGGTTTCCCAATGCACATACGAATTATGTTTGTTACAATTCTGTAGTCCATTAAGTGCACAATGACATTAAGCCTAAAAAACAATGGATATACCTTAATTAAAATATACTTTATTACTAAAAAATGCTAGGAGCCATTCGAGTCTTCAGTAAGCCATAGTCCTTTTGTTGGTGGAGGGGGTTGCCTTGATGCTGATGGCTACTGGCTCATCAGGATGGTGATTTGTGGTGGTTGGGGTGGCTCTGACAATTTCTCAGAATAAGACAGCAATGAAGTCTGCTGCATCAATTCTCTTTCATGAAATATTTCTCTGTAGTCCGCAATATAGCCTAATAGTATTTTACCCACATAATTTCTGAATTGAAGTCAATTCACTCAAATTCTGCTGCTGTTTATCGACTAAATTAATGTAATATTCTAAATACTTTGTTGTTATTTCAACTATATTCACAGCATTTTAACAAAGGGTAGATTCCATCTGAAGAAACTACTTTCTTTGCTCCTGCATAAGAAGAAACTCCTCACTCACTAAAGTTTTATCATGAAGTTGCAATAATTCAGTCACATCTTCAAGGCTCCACTTATAATTTTAGTTTTCTTGTTATTTCCACTGCATTTGCATTTCCTTCTTTCACTGAAGTCCTGAACCTCTCCAAGTCTCCCATGAGGGTTAGAATTGATTTAACTTATTCCAAATTCCTATTAATGTTGATATTTTGACCTCCTCCCATGAATCATAGATATTATAATGGCATCTAAAATTGTGAATCCTTTCTGGAAAGTTTTTAATTGACTGCCAAGATCCATCAGAGGAGTCACTTTATCTATGGTATCTATAGACTTACAAAGTGCCTTTCTTAAATGATAAAACTTGAAAGTTGAAAATACTCCTTGATTCATGGACTGCAGAATGGATATTGTGTTAGCAGACAGGAAGACATTAGCCTCCTTACACACCTCCGTCAGAGTTCTTGGATGATTTGGTACATTTTTAGTGAGCCGTATTATTTTGAAAGGAATTGTTTCCTTGAGGCAGTGGGTGTCAATAGTGGGCTTAACATATTCAGTAAACCATGCTGTAAACATGTAAAAAAATATTGTCTTACACAGCTTGGGCAACGTGATGAAACCCTGTCTACAAAAAAGACAAAAATTTAGCTGGGCTTGGTGGCATGTGCCTGTAGGTCCAGCTACCTGGGAGACTGAGATGGGAGAATTTAATGTTCCATTTAGAGCACAGGTAGAGTAGATTTAGCATAATTCTTAAGGGTCATAGGATGTTTACAATGGTAAATGAGAATTGGCTACACGTTAGTCACCAGCTGCAATGGTCCCAACAAGAGGGGCAGCCTGTCCTGTGAAGTTTTGAAGCCAGACATTGACTTCTCCTCTCTAGCTATGAAAGTTTTAGATGGCATCTTCCTCCAATATAAGGCTGTTTTATCTACACTGAAAATCTGTTGTTTAGTGTAGCCACCTTTATCAATGATCTTAGCTGGATCTTCTGGATAACTTGCTTTAGCTTCTCCATCAGCACTTGCTGCTTCACGTTGTACTTTTATGGTATAGAGATGGCTTCTCTCCTTAAACCTCATGAACCAACTTATGCCAGCTTCAACCTTTTCTTCTTCAGCTTCTTCATCTTTATCAGCTTTCATAGATCTGAAAAGAAAGCCTTCCCCTAGATTAGGCTTTGGCTAAAGGGAATGTTGTGGCTAGTTTGATCTATCCATACTATAAAAACTTTCTCCACATCAGCAAGAAAGCTGTTTCACTTTCTTATCATGTATGTGTTCCCTGGAGTAGCACTATTACATTTCTTCAAGAACTTTTCCTTTGCATTCACAACTTGCTTAACTGTTTGTCACAGGAGGCCCAGCTTTTAGCTTATCTCTGTTTTCAACACGCCTTTCTCACCAAGCGTAATCATTTCTAGATTTTGATTTAAAGTGAGAGGCATGTGAGTCTTTCACTTGAATGCTTAGAAAGGCCATTGCAGGATTATTAATTAGCTTGATTTTCAAATTATTGTGTCTGTGGGAATAGGGAGGCACAAGTACAGGGAGAGAGGTGGGGAGCAGTTGGTCAGTGGAGCAGTCAGAACACACTTTTTTTGGTTAAAATTGTTCACCATCTTATATGGGCACAGTTCATGGTGCTCCAAAATAATTACAATAATAACATGAAATATTACTAATTACAGGTCACCATAACAAATATAATTTTAAAAAGCTTTGAAATTTTGTAAGCATTACCAAAATGTGACACAGACATACAAAGTCAGCACACGCTGTTGGAAAAACAGCCGATAGAGTGGCTCAATGCAGGGTTGCCAGAAACCTGCAATTTGTGAAAGACAGTATACATGAAGGATGATAAAGCAAAGTATGATAACATGAGGTATGCCTGTAAATTACCACTTATGTCAATACATTCACACTGTCATATGAAGAGAAAGTTATAGTTAAACATTTCATGAATACGAATTTTAATATATCACCAGTGATCCTTAAAACCCAGATTTCTTAAGGTCCTAGCCTCTTTAAGCAGAGTTTATAATGAGAAAGTACTACCCCCTCACCCAGCAAAACATAAAGTAATTCCTGGTAAAATGCCTGTTCTCTAAGATTATCTCACACTGGCACTGAGAAAATGAGATTGGTAAAGGTTCCAATAAATACAAATAAATAAATGAAAAGGAGTGAGAACATGTTTATCTCCAGCCAACATATCAAAATTCCTTCCGGAAGTCTATAAGGATTTTTGACTATGCCCCATCATCCAATATCACAGTAGCATGTTTAGATAGCATACAATCTGCAGAAGAGCAAAAGCACTAAAAAAAAAATAAACTTGCATTTGTTGTTTGACTACATAATGACATTGAACCCATATCTCCAACTATAGTAAATAGTCATATGCATAACTTTTCCTAGTGGTAATATTTTCAGTTTAGATATTACAAGTTTATAATTAGGAGACATTACCTATGGTCTCCATTTGGACATTTGTATTCTAATGGTGACAGGTAACAATGCCGACAAAAAAATTGCAACTTTCATCTTCAACTCAATAAAGTGTGTGTGTGTGTGTGTGTGTGTGTGTTTTATCTTGGTACATGGGGAATAAATGTACCTTACATTAAAAAAATATTGTCTTACACAGCTTGGGCAACGTGATGAAACCCTGTCTACAAAAAAGACAAAAAGTTAGCTGGGCTTGGTGGCATGTGCCTGTAGGTCCAGCTACCTGGGAGACTGAGATGGGAGAATCACCTGAACCCAGTGGTTGACACTAAAGTGAGATGTGATCATGCCACTGCACTATAGAGTGAGTCCTGTCAGAAAGAGAGAAAGAATAAAAGAGAGGAAGGAAGGAAGGAAGGAAGGAAGGAAGGAAGGAAGGAAGGAAGGAAGGAAGGAAGGAAGGAAGGGAGGGAGGGAGGGAGGGAGGGAGGAGTGAAAATTTTTGTGTTTGAACAATTATAATATTGTCATTTTTCTTCTACAAATTAATACTAAAACAAGATCAAAATGTAAGAATTAAAGTGACAACAGAAGTAAAACAAAAATTCAACATGGAGATTACATAAAATAATAAAATGTTACCTTAATTGTATAACTAATACATAAGATAAGCATATGATAAGGTAGAATCCTAGTCCCCAGTTTACTTTATATGTGTTCTTAAATATTAATTTTTATATGCCAATTTTTTAAAAGCAAATCACTCATGCACACAAAACACTTGTAGTATTTATGCTAGATTTTTGAGGTACCCTTAGTTTGACAAATGTGGAGGAATATGAGTACCATGCTCAAGGAAAA